TCATTCGCCGCACCTGTAAAGCTAGTTTCATTTATTATTACAACTGGAATAGTTACAATTATTGCTGAACGAATTAAGCAATTAAGCCTCATAGTTTAATCATCTGTCCACACCAAAATGCAAAGAGATATCGCAAGACACATGACTTTCTTTCTGAGTTGTTGTATTATTTATGTAAAACAATTAAATATAATGTTTAATATCAAAGGAATAAAAATCTGATGTGTACACCACATGACTTCCTTGTACGCAATATTAAATTATACGCATTTTTTCTTGCATTTCATTTAAACTTATTGGATTGAATTAAATCTACTTCGCCGACAGCGCATAAACCACAATAAAATTGCATTCTTTAAAATTCACTCTCTTTTTTTACTTCCTTCTACGAAGTAAAAAGGAAGTATTGTAATCGCGAAAAGATTCAGGCAGCATATTTCAACGAAAATATCCATTTTGACCGCTATCCAACGCATTTTAACGATGTTTTTGCGTAATATCTGTACGTAAGGACAGAATAAAATACTCTTTTCCTTCAAAAAAGTTATAAAACTGCTTTAAAATTAATTCTGAAGAGAATTTTTCGTGGCGTCTGTACGAACGTATGTACGTACGAGCGTACGTACGTACATATCTGGCATAACTCAAAACCGTGTAGCCTCAGAACGTTGAAATTTTGTATATATATAACATGTAGATAACATGTAGATGCATAACATGTAGATGTGCACCTCGTATTTTGGTTGCAATCGGCCGCACCAAACGTATATAAATATATTTACTATATATATATTCACTCTGTTACCCGGCTCAGTGATCTCAGGTTCTTTACACTTATATGTTTGTAAATTGTACATTTTTTGCTTTAAAAATGATTGTATTATGTTGTTTTTATCTTCTGGTTAAGGTTTTTATGCCTTCAGTAAATCTGTATGCAATATTTTTAGAATTATCAAGAATTTTAAAGTTGTGTAAGTGCCGCTAAGCCTTTTTTTAATGGCGGCCATTAATGTTTACATTTAAAACAGGAGACTACTGGATTTGTTTCCAATCTAGACAAACTTAGCTTCGCAACAACAAAGATAACACATTCACTTATTATTGCCAATTAAATCATGCTTAATTCTTTCTAGAATTTTTTCTAGGAAATAAGTGTTCAAGATTTACTTCGTAATTTTTAATATAGATATTTTGAGTTTTTATGTATTTTTGCCTTCTCGCGAAGTGAGAACTGAATTGATTAAATGAGAAATACTCAATCGTCTGTGAAAAACTGTTTCTTTTTTGTTTTGTTTTGCTTAATTTCGTTTATACATCATTCTAACTTTATTATAGTATTTGAATAGAACATGTGGCAATTCTATAGATAATTCTATTCTTTAAATGATATACATTTTGTGCATTATGAGTTATAATATTAAAGAAATATATAAGTTAACTGTTATATAATTATTGGATTATATAACAGTTAACTTAGTTTCCGTTATATAATTATTATATAAGTTAACTGTTATATAATTATTAATATTGTTAAGTGAATCTAGCACCAGAGTGTCGCTATGGTAAACAACTACTAGGCTGAATTTTAAAGAATGCATTTATTCTACTGTGGTTTATGCGCTGTCGGCGAAGTAGATTTAATTCAATCCAATAAGTTTTAATGAAATGCAAGAAAAAATGCGTATAATTTAATATTCCAATATAAGGAAGTCATGTGGTGTACACATCAGATTTTTTACCATAGCGACACTCTGGCGCTAGGTTCACTTAACACTATTATATTTCGTTCATATTATATCTCAGAATGCACAAAATTTATATCATTTAAAGAATTATCTAATCGTTTCCACATGTTCTATTCAAATACTATAATAAAGCTAGAATGATGTATAAAAGAAATTAAGCAAACAAAACAAAAAAGAAACAGTTTTTTACAGACGATTGGGTATTTCTCATTCAATTAATTTAATTCTCACTTCCTGATAAGGCAAAAATACATAAAAACTCCAAATATCTGTATTAAAAATTACAAAATAAATCTTAAACACTTATTTCCTCGAAAAAATTCCAGAAAGGATTAAGCATGATTTAATTCGCAAGCGTTATCTTTGTTGTTGCGAAGCTAAGTTTCTCTAGATTGCCAACAAATGCACTATTCTGGTGTTTCAAATGTAAACAAGCAATGGCAGCCATCAAAAACGTTATTAGGCTTAGCGGCACTTAAACAGCCTTAAAATTGTTGATAAATCTAAAAATATTGCATACAGATTTACTAAAAGCATAAAACCCTTAACCGGAAGATAAGAGCAATATAATCATTTTTAAAGCAAAATATGTACAATTTCCAAACATATAAGAGTAAAGAAACTGAAATCACTGAACCGGGTATCAGAGTGGATATATATATAAATATATTTATATACGTTTTATGTGGCCGATTGCAACCAAAACACGAGGTGCACATCTACATGTTATAGCAGTCCTATATACAAAATTTGAACGTTCTGAGGCTACTCGTTTTTGAGTTATGCGAGATACGTACGTACATACGTTCGTACAGACGCCACGAAAAATTCTCGTCAGAATTCATTTTAAAGCAGTTTTAAAATTTTTTGGAGGAAAAGAGTCTTTTATTCTGTTCTTACGTACAGATATCAAGCAAAAACATCGTTAAATTGCATACGATAGCGGTCAAAACGGATATTTTCTTTGAAATATGCTGGCTGAAACTTTTCGCGATTACAATACTTCCTTTTTACTTCGTACAAAGAAGTAAAAAAGGGAGATTTACAATTTTGAATTTCATTACAGAAGAATTAAGACAAATTGTTCAGACTAATTCTAAGGTAACTGATGTCGATATACAAAAAGAGGAACTAATTTTCGAAAGTTTAATTTCTTTCCCAGATTCTAAAATAACAAACCATAATATACATGTATATAAACATATATGTATTACAGTATAACAAATTTTTATTTTAAAACAAAATTATCGCAATCTTATATAGACAGCCCCTGCATCGATGAGGATTTCCAAATTTTCAACTGTGTTATAATTAAATAATTTAGAATAGTTCATCAGCTAATTTTGGATGAATAGAAACGCAGTGGCTTTCCATTGGGAAGAGGATTCAGTTGAATATGATCTACCTCTTCTTGAAAACGTTCAATAAGATTGTATTGCGTTTCTCTTCCTATGTTTATACATTTTTTTGGTTCACATTTCTTTTATTCTTCTGAATTTTGAGTGATTTTTTAATATTTTCAGGAATTTTGAAATTTTACTCGTCTTGAATTTCATTTTTGGGGGGATCTTGTGGATTTGGTTCTAAATTTCGTGCTTTTTGTCTATATATATTCATGTCATTATATACATATGTATATTCATATATATATGTTTGTATATATAGTACTCGTATATATATGTGTGTAAAATATACAAAATACGATGGCTTTTCTCTACGCGAACCTCTAATTAACTTTCCTCAATTTCAGGATCTTCCCCCTAGACCAGTACTTTCGAGAACATTCGGGCATGTTACGTAACCGCTGCTATAAATGAAGAGTTCGCGCCATTTTAAGTCAGACTGCTTTTCTCCGCCTACCGCAGTAACATCTTTTTGCTGACGCTCTGTCGTTCAATAAGATATGTAATAAGATTACATATAGATCAGTCAAGATTACAATGAATAAAAATATGGAGCAAAAAAGTTAAATTCTTCTGTGTCGTTATTGGATTGTACTCGGCCACAACAATGTCCTGATTCTGATGACCAGCTTCGTCACTTATGTGCCCGACTGCCAAAATTACATATATATATATATAAATATATACATATTCATATATATATATATATACATATTCTCATATATATACATATATATTTATATATAATTTACTAAAGAAATATTAATTATATTATCTCCTGATATAAATTTGGTAGAAGTATCTAAAAAGAGTGAACCCATATGTAGGAAGAACTAAGTGAATTTAAGATCATACAACATTTGATATATTTATATATATGTCACCGTGAAAGACCGAAATTGGAGAATGTCGACTTTCACCGGAGAATATCAACATTCACCAAATACGCCGGTAAAAGACCGAATATTTCACTACATTCTTGTATATTCGGACCCTCACCGGTGTATGTCGACAATCACAGATATGCTCTGGTGAAAGTCGAAAAGAGAGGTTATAAATTGCCATAATAATTTAAGTTGTTGCAATAAATAAGATTTGAATCACATAATTTAGTAAGTTTTTTATCACAGTTATTTTATTTTCTAATTTAGAACGTACTATATAATTAAGTTTTTTAACTTCTATTATTTTCCTTCCTTTCTCATTTTGAATGTACAGTGTGTTTTAAGTTCTTATGTTCTTATTTTAAGTCTCAAGTGCGTTTTTTCGCGACCGAATTACGGAGAAGAAAATATAATATTGTTAACATTCACCATTAGTACATGGTGAATGTCGACATTGACCGGTGTAAGACAGAAATAAGAGTATTTGGAAAATATTTCGGACATACACCAAGAGACTATGTGAATGTTGACATTCACCGGTGAAAGTCGGTGAAAGCCGGTAATTCTCCAGATTTCGGTGTTTCACCGTAACATATACATATTCATATATATATATATGTACAATTGTACATTAATCTTGTAGATTATATATTAATAATTCGATATAATAAATATTATATAAAATAAATACCATATTGTATACTAATAATCGTAATATACATATTCATGTATATATATAATTTCATTTTATATATATACGAGTATATTTATAATTGCATTATATATATATATATAATGATAAGTTTAAGATTCAAGATAATCAGTTTTAGCAATTATTCCAATCCCAGAACGCAAATAGTGAATGTACCTATATAATACCAATCGGATCGCCATAACGAATTTTGCTTTAAATCAACTTGGATAATTTCTATAATCATTTATTAAAACTGATCTTTTTCTTTTGCAGATGGCCCAGCAGTAGTCCGAGTCAATATGTTCATCAGAAGTATCAGTAAAATCGATGACGTTAAAATGGTTAGTGCGCTCCTTATCCCATTTTAATTTTTTAATGTAAGTGAGATGAGTGTATGTAAACACTATTTAATTAATACATCAATAAACCATAAAATGTTCATAGAAAAATATTAATACAAGAATTTTAAGTGTGAGATATTTTTGCTCATAAATCTGCTCGAGGGAAATACATTAAATGAAATGTATTGTTACCAATTTTCGTACATAGATAGATGATTTTACTGCAATCGTTTGCGAAACTGCTGTATTTTGTTGTGTAACGTAACATAAAAAATCCAGAGAAGCGAGCTGTGCCGGAAAATTAAGAATACGGTCGCAAGTCCATTTAACATTGAGTAAATGGGTATTTCCATAATTTGGCGAAGTATCTCCAAACGTCGCCAATCTTGGCGACTATTGGCTCCATTTTGGTTCGGTTCCTGTATCACAATATAAAATTGTAATTGAACAGATGTAACTGATCAGTATATTAGATGCAATGGTTATTCGACGCTCATTTTGCCTTCCAGTAATTTCGAGAAGCAGAAAGTACTAAAAATATCTCAGCGGCTGGGTGAAAACTATAAATGGCTGGAGACAGAACATCTGCTCTCAGTAGTTGAGGTTAAATTAGTGTTGTTGCAAGTTGCTAGTTTAGCGTGAACTGAGATATCTCCGGATTATCGTTCCCTTTAAGTACACTTTACGTTGAGTTGTGTTTAACGTTCTTTTGAGTTTGAAGCGTAACGACTGATTGTGCTCTGTGATACTGTGAACACCTGTACGAGTATTTCTGTGGAAAATTTCAGTGATTTTTTCGATAAGATAAATTTTATTAAATTATTTATTTTATTTTAAAACATAAAAAGAAAATATAAAAGATAATTATTTAAAAAGATTATCAAAAGATAATTATTTATTAACAAAAGATAATTATTGTTATTTGTTATCAAAAGGTAATTATTGTTATCAAAAGATAATTATTTTTATTGTTATCAAAAGATTACAAATAATTATCTTTTACACATAACAATACTTATCAAAGCTAATTATTGTTATTTGTTATCAAAAGATAATTATTTTTATCAAAAGATAAAAAAAAATAATTATATAAAAAATAATTATCTTTTGATAAAATAAATTTTATTAAATTATTTATTTATTTTATTTTATTTTATTTTATTTTCATTTTGTGACATTTTAATCAGACCTGTGGGCATTTAATCTATTATTACGAACCCGTACGTACGCAACAATATTTAATTCTGATCTACGTAAAGTATCAAATGGAAACTGTTGAGCTGATGTGCAGATATCTAATGTACAGTAACACAAAAAAGATATGTTAATTTATCTAGGTTAGAATTCCAGATAGGCTCGAAAATTCATGATCACAGAATTTGGCCAGTAATGAGCGCTTTAAAGCTATAAGTCGACTTCTGTCATTAATCCTGAAGAAACTAAGCTTCTTTTTTTTCCGGGGTAGGGGGAAAAGGTACTTTCTTTTATTGCCAAAAACAAAAGAAAAAGAATATTTGTAATAAAAGCAACTGTATCGGGTATAACTTCCCGAATTCATTCTGAAGAAGTGAATCTCAGATACTATTCTTAATCAAAAATATTTTATAGGATTTTTATTACTATATTTAAACATGAAATGAGGACAAGGAAGCGTAATGATCAATTACAAATGTAAGACTGTTATTAGGACGTTTCAAAAATATCCTGATCTCTTTTGACGATGAACAATCTTTTTAATGGATATCAACTGAGCTCTTTCATGAGCAATTACTTTTCCTTGGAAATTTCATTCCTCGAATAAATAATAAATTCCAAAATGGGAGATCACATTCAACCTTTACTAAGGAAAGTATAATAATAGTTCACTAAATTGAAAGAAGCTGAATCAAGGTGGAATTACGCAATTACGAGGAGATTTTTGTAACTTGAAAAAGACTGCAATTTATGAAAGTTATTTTGCAGTCTCCCATTCCAAGTATAATCTTTGAAAATTAGCGAAACAAGAGACATAATACTTCATAATGTAAATTTAATGAGCAGTATAATGAGGTATTTACAATCACTGAGATTGTTCTCAAATTTTTAAATGATTTTGATAAAGCACGCAACCCAAATTAACAAAAGCATAAATAATTAATTGTCTATTGAAGGATAATTATCGGCTGCAGTAATAAAAAAATGTTTTTCAGTAGAAAACACCGTTTTTCCACAGCCCGAAGAAAATATATATTAACTTGAAAATAATATAGGTATCATATAATTAAGATATACCACTTTATATATATATATATATATATATATGTCATAATAAAAGCACAAGGAAAGGACAGAACACTGTCGAGGCGTAATTAGATCCATATTGAAGACGATTTTGATTGCGTAGTATGCTAGTAATGATAACTTGGTAATATCTAAAGAACTTGGCAGTCGAGGCAGTTTTAATTCCATTTTTATTTGCAACTGATATTTGTGGCCACAATCACTTGGCACTCTAGTCGTGCCTTTCCACAGAATATTTACATTTTTGATATGGTTGAGATAGAAAGCAAGCCAGCGAAATTACATCTTAGCACAGTAGAGAGCAAAAGCTGAAGTGCGTAGTTATCAAGGATGGAAGCATGGCGAAGAGAAAAGTTTTGGTTTACAAAGTCAGTTTCAGTTCCCAATTATTACGTCATCAGAGCTGCGCGGGCCATAGTGTGATCTAGAAATGACGCAATGCAGAAAAGTTATTACGATTTTAGAATAGAGAGGAAGAATTAATGTTTATAGTTTAAACTATAATTTATATGCAATAATAAAATTCCATAGTCAAGAAAGCACTAAAAATTCTAACTGTATGTTCTTTTCATTTTTAATGGCGACGTTCTCTTATTTGAAAGTACGTGGAATTAAATCCACAGCCCCGTAGTCAAGTTGTTTTTCCCGCCTTTTCTACACGTACAGTTATAGAATCTTCTGGAAATATTTAAAGCGAACTGAATAGCTGACGAGGCTGACGTCATTCTTGGAAGCTCCGCCTTTCCAGAGGCTATAAAAGGACTCGCAAAAGAATATCGGGGCTTTTTCTTAAATGTCACGATGCAGTAAACTTCATACAAAAAGTTATTAGTAATTCTTTTTATTTACTCAGGATATCTGATTTTGTAAGTGCTATTTCTCCTGAATAATAATAAATTGATCCTGTTTTTTTAAACTTATCGTCTGATAATTTAAGCTACGACTAAAGCTGGTACATCACATATATATATTCAAAGTCGATTTTTAGCCCAAAAGAGCATTAGCTCAGAATAGCTATTAGTCTCGAAATGGCATTTTGAGTTGTATCACTTTTCAAATTGTTGCCACCAAATACTATTATCGCCCTGTATTATATTTAAAGAAATTAAATAATGAAGAAACTACATGAATGTATGTTTCTGGCAATGTGAAAAAAGAGCGCTACCTAGAGCCATCCAGTTTTGAATACGTATTTCTCCACACGAATATAAGCACCTGGAAGCCTGAATTTTGAATTTCGGATTTGTTTTATTGTCTGCTTCATATTCTATACAACTTTAACGAATTTTTTATTAGCAAATTCTACGATTTCAAAGCGAGCAATGGCAACACTGTACGGAAAAAACATTTTTATCTCCAGCGCGCAAGGTATATATATTAGGCAAGGAAATTATAACGATATGCTGTGTTTAAACATTTATAGCCCATTTGGTGCGCCAACTGACTTATTTCACTATTTTACTAAGAATTTCAACTGTAAAGAAATAGCTGCCTCATTAGGCTTAGCACCACTTCAACTTTTAAACTGTTGATAATTCTACAACTATTTCATGCAGATTAACTAAGGCATAAAACCCATAACCGAAAGATAAGAACAATATAATTCAATCACTTTTAAAGCAAAAAATTCACAATTTACCAACATATAAGAATAAAATCTGAGCTCACCGAGCAGATATATATTGCAACGAAAAAGGAATGTGCAGAATTGCATATTATAGCATTACCAAATTTCAACGCATTAAAGCTACTCGTTTTTAACTTATGCCACATATATACATAGGTATGTACGTTCAGATGTCACAAAAAAAATTCTCTTCTTAATCCATTTTAAATCCATTTTACAATCCGTTTTGGAAAAAATCTGATGTGTGCACCACATGACTTCCTTGTGCAGAGTATTAAATTATACTCATTTTTTCTTCCATTTCATTTAAACTTATTGGATATGATTAAATCTACTTCGTCGATAGCGTATAAACCACAATAGAATAAATGCACTCTTTAAAATTTACTATATTTGTTTACCAAAGCGACACTCTGGCGCTAGGTTAACTTAACAGCGTTATATTTCGTCCATATTATAACTCAGAATGCACAAAATTCATATCATTTGAAGAATTATCTAATCGTTGTCACATGTTCTATTCAAATACTATAATAAATCTAAAACGATGTACAAAAGAAATTAAGCAAACAAAACAAAAAAGATTGAAGTATTTCTCATTCAATTATTTCATTCTCACTTCGCGACAAAGTAAAAATACATTAAAACTCAAGATGTCTGTATTGAAAATTATGAAGTAAATCTTAAACATTTATTTCCTCGAAAAATTCCAAAATGGATTAAGCATGATTTAATTCGCAATAATAAAAGAAGGCGTTTTCTTTGTTATTTCGAACCTTACTTTCTCTAGATCGGCAACAAATCCACTAGTCTGCTGTTTCAAATGTAAACAAGCAATGGACGCCATGGAAAAATTTATTAGGCTTAGCGGCACTTAAACAACTTTTAAATTGTTGATAATTCTAAACCTTTTTCATACAGATTTATTAAAAGCATAAAAACCTTAACCAGGAGATAAGAACAACTGAATTCAATCATTTTTAAAGCAAAAAATGCACAATTTGCAAACATATAAGAATAAAGAAACTGAGATCACTGAGCCGAGTAACAGAGTGTATATATATATACATATATATATATATATATATATATA